TGTGTTATGTAGCCTCAGTATTAGGCCTTTAATGCCCATTGACAAAATTTTTCTATGTCAAATAGTTTTTGAGTTGTGGGGGTTTTTGTTAAAAAAACGAAAAGTGGTCTAAGTTCCCCCGCCGGTCTAAGTTACCCCATTTTACGGTAATTTAAACTTAATTTCCAAGCCAGTCAATATCACCCCATCAGGGCTGCCATTAGGTAGTCACATTTCCCTCACTATGGGGCGGCGCCCCCCATTTGCAAACTATGACACTTTCCTCAAGTTTGTCATTTGCATATGTAACTGGAAGAAATCTACTACAATGCACCAAAACCAGGAGTTATTTGGAGTTATTTTACCAAAAAATATAATTGATTTTACCACCCGGTCTAAGCAGTAGCTGGGGTAACAAAATAAACAAAGACCATCACTTTTTTTGAGATTACATAAAGACTATGAGAGGCAGGAGCCAGCAATTTATGGTGAGTGAAGCTAGAGTATAGACCTGTATTTTGCAGGTTTCAATTCAAGTTTAATTTAGCTAGTAAAAAAATGGCATCATTTATAAAAAAGAAAGTGGTCTAAGTTACCCCATTTTACGGTATCATATTAGCTATATTTATATATGCTTGCAACTGGGAAGTTTGACATCAGCGGAGTCTCATGGAAATTTGATCCTGTAATTTTGATTTTGTTATACTCGTTCCTTGGGCTCTTTCTCTTTGTCCCAGCTTTTGACCGGCATCTGGGTTGGTCTGCTTGAAATGTTGGAATGCTGCTGGCGAAACTGGAAAATGACGAATTCACAAAATAAAATTCGCTATACAGTCAAATTCAATAAAAGACCATTATGATGCTTATTTGCACATTTCTAATTTTAATAAGTAAAGAACGTGCAAATGTAATATTTAGTAGGTATTAGGTATGCAGTCGAACGAGTCGACGTAGTGTAAAGAAATCAAGATGGCATCTCGTAGGGAACAATCGATGATTGAGATTTTTTACCCAATAACATAAGCTTCATTAAAAATTTTGACTCATTACTTACCTTAACCCACCCCAATACATGTTTATTAGCAATACTGACTAGAAATTAGCACAAATAGATTGTTTATTTTACTTGGGTAAACACAAAAGTTAGTGCGATTCACTTAGCACATCTCAGTCGACCGCATGAATCAACGCTCTCACAAAGAGAATCTGAGACGCAGTTACCTAAACATACAGAAACCATCACAAAGATTGAGAACCCTAGCGGTAATAAATACAACTATGTCGAACTTGCGAAACAATTTTTCACTGCCTAAGGAACATCATCCAATTTAAAGCAAATATCCATGCATTACTAGCTCAATACCTGATTTTTCAGACATTTAGACGGATAATACGGAGTAATAAGGTATTGTCTCTCGCATCGTATTATACAAAAATCGACAAATTTGTGACTAATACGTCTTTTTATAGGCAATTTTTTTATATGGAAAAGCCTCAAAAATGTATATGATAGTTTGGTAGTATCGTAAAAATAACGACGTATTATGAGTTCAAAAGAAGAGTTCAAGTTTAATGTCTCGGTAAACTTTACGCAATGTGCAGTGTTGCCATAAGTTGGCAGTTTCCCTCGAACATTTCCATCACTGATGGGACGTGGGAATTGCATCAAATTGCAGGGAAACAATTTTATTAATAGGGAGCTGATATGCAATGAAAAAATTCTAGATTTAATTTGTTTGAAATTATTCATTTCAATTCTTCTTTGACAATAATTGGGTTATAAAGACATCAGGTTTCATCTGAAGTCAATTACCCACCCTGTTGGTCATGGTCGTCAATGAAATGTCATTGTTGCTTTTGTCATCATACCTATTGTTATACTTGTTGTTAATTACTATCATTGTCATCATAACCATCGTTTTCATCATACCCATCGTTTTTCTTATTTTCATTGCTGGTTTATCACTCATTGTTGCCATCACATTCGTCATTATCATTTCACGCCGTCTATCACTTATGTAATGAGTACCACCAAACCATCGTAATGGTTCGCTGGTAACACAGATAAAGACCCTGCAAGTGCAAGGCAACGCGAGCCAAATTAATCCAGTTTTTATTGGCGTGTAGATTTAAACCGATAGTTAATTTCTAGAATAAGGCGCTAAATTGACGCTGGTAATATAATAGCAGCAGCTGGGGCGTCAGGGGCACGCCTCGGCACCACTTTATTGGTGGGCAGTGTCTCATCCCTCTTTATTATCTTCCTTGAAATATATAACGTGTAATCAAACTATTAAAATACAGCTTTTCGCTTGAGAGAGTTGTTATAGTTAAGGTACCTGTGTTCTAACCAGGAAGGGTTAGAAATGGTACCGGTGTCTTCACAAGGGACCACACTTTCAAAAGGATATATGGGGGCTCCACCCCCATATATATATGGGGGGGCGACTTTTTTCAAACGTCGCTGGGGCCCCACCACCGCAGCAGTGGGCCCCACCACCACGGCAGTGGGCCCCACCACCACGGCAGTCGAACCCACCACCGCAGCAGTGGGCCCCACCACCGCAGCAGTGGGACCCACCACCGCAGCAGTGGGCCCCACCACCGCAGCAGTGGGTGGCCCACCACCGCAGCAGTAGAACCCACCACCGCAGCAGTGGGCCCCACCACCGCAGCAGTAGAACCCACCACCGCAGCAGTGGGCCCCACCACCGCAGCAGTGGGACCCACCACCACGGCAGTGCATGGGACCCACCACTGCAGCAGCGGGCCCCACCACCACGGCAGAGGGCCTCAGCATCCCACACCTGACAAGCAAGTGAAGTTATTATTTCCACAACACCACGCCAGTCCGTTTGACCAGCAAGAAAAGTTCAGATAGACTTTAATTATTTTTACCTCCGTTATGTAAAATTTTTTCATATATACAGAATTTTTCATAAATATTACATTTGCCAAGTGCAAAAAAGTACAATATTCGCGAATTCTAATAATAAAGTCCAACTATTGTTTGTACGTGATCACTACAGAAGTTGTTATCAATTGCAATGAGAAAGTCTCTTATTTTTGGCATAATACGCACCTTGATGAATAATTATTTCTAAATGGTTTCTTGCAACGCCAAACCTTGATTGTTCCCTTTAAATTTTTGGTACAAAGCTGACGTTGTTGAGAACTGGGTAATTTTGCAAGTGGAGAGAAAAGCTGCAGAAATAGGGAAATATTCGAAGGAATTTAATCTGTTGATAAATCGAAAAAGAACATCCTTTTGATAATAACTTAGTTGGTTTACTGCCATGACGAACAGCCTGGACAAGATTATACCAGCAAAGTCCTGGGATCGTAGGTGCACGTAAATATATCTAAACGATTAAAGATGAATAATAAACTTATTTATTAAATTATTGCGAATTATAAACATTACTAAACTGAAGTTTCATTCGTCGAGTAACTCTTCCTACAATGAGATCGTAGCGGATGTGGATGGTTAAGTCTGGCATGTAATCATTTTCTATGCTGAGTATGTTAAAGTTTAACATGATAACTAAACCATATTGAACATCTAATTAATCCAGTTGCGCAAAAAAGACGCTTGACAGCAATTGATCACAGGTGGAGGGCGGTACGCATAATGTAAATGAACGAAAAGGATTTTTAATTGGCAAATTCTTAAGATAAATCAGTGTCGATAATCGGTTTCATGAAGAATCGGCCCACCAGGTTTGTTTAGATCTTGTCCTACCATATTTGTAAAGAAAGGGGAAGCTTATTTTTTAAATTGATTAAATTTTGGAAATTTGATAACCGGCGCCATTTTTCCCAGATTTTTTATTGTTTTTCAAAGTAAATGTATATTGATATATACATTTTGTTCATTCAGAGTGTGAGATTCAAACTTATTGATTAAGAGTACCTTTATGTATACCAGCTCTCATAAATATAGGGTAACATGGGGCAGCGAGCCCACTGCGGGTCACGGGCCCATAGCGGGTTTCTCGCTAAGTATTGTAGATATTGGTCCGTGTTCTCTACCGCCGGTCGACAGTTTCACTGGGATGAAGTGTACGGATTTACGTTTTGCTAAGTGTTTGCGTTATTAAGTTCTTTGTGAATAACTGTTTTAGTCCAGATAAAAATTTTTTTGCCGCTAAATAAATTTTTTTTCGATTACTATAGATGAAGCTTTTGAAATTACTGTGAATTAATTTTTCAAAGTAATATTTATAGGGATAATTTTGAGACCAAGTTTAGGCTATTAGGTTTTAAAATAAAATGTTGACACGATATAAATTGAAATGATACCTAGTGGGGGCAACGGGCCCACGCGTGTCACGGGGCAAAGCGCCCATGGTGAAGTCTTGTGTTATACATCATTAGTTGCCCCAGGGGTGGGGCAATGGGCCCATTTTGACACTTTTTACAAAACAGTGTTTCATTAAAAATTGAATGAACATATAGGCGTCTAATTCACATCATACATTCCTCATTAGTTGCACCTTTAAACAAAACAAAGAACCATCTCGCATCAATTAAAACTTCATCGAAAATTTAGTTTAAAAAAAGGGGGGGCGCGCTGCCCCATGTTGCCCTACATTCTTTACAACACTTCTCTTTAATTTCACTTCTTGCTTGTTTGTTTGTTTGTCTGCTACAAATCTTATATTCGATATTTTAACACACTTCTAAATGCCCAATCGATCTGAAATTTTGCAAACTTGCGTAAAATCGGAGAAAATACGTCTCAAAAAAAATTGAAAAAATTTATTTAATTGAAAAATGGAATTAGAAATTTATTGTACATGTGTAACATCGGAGACGCAAGCCTCTTTAGAAGTATTCTTTTTAAAAAGTAATTTTAAGCGCATATTATGTTTATTCACCATGTGGTAGTAAAAACTTATTTAGTTATGCCTCAATTTTTTTATTTTATTGTAAAATAAAAGTCACGAAACAAAGGTGGGATTATTGACATAAAAACAAAAAGCAGCGTTTCAATCTATTTTATGTAGAGCCTTTGAAGGTAAAATTGGTTCATTTATCTACGAATGATACATATTTTAATTTCTACGGAGCTTTATCGGCAGGAAAGTAGAGTTTATTTTTAGATGCAATAACAAATATGAACTTGGCACTCCTACCACGTAGTAGTACTCATGTGCATATTTTTGAAGCCCAAAGGCTACAGCTAGAAATTAAACGTATAGTAGGGAAGTTAAAAGTTTTTTTTTGGTGAATTACAAGCCATTCTATCAATTTAGAAGTCCCACGTAGTATTGAAGGTTCACTGGGCCATTATTCATCAGTATTCACTGTGGCTTTCTTCTCCAATGGAATATGCCTTTAGTTGGACTTCATCTCAGCTCATTGCTGTATCATGAGTGTTTTTGGCGCCATGCATACCGCCCGCCATCACGGATACCGCCCGCCATCATGAATACCGCCCGGCATCACGGATACCGCCCGCCATCATGGATACCGCCCGCCATCATGAATACCGCCCGCCATCATGTTACCGCCCGGCATCATGAATACCGCCCGGCATCATGAATACCGCCCGGCATCATGAATACCACCCGGCATCATGGATACCGCCCGGCATCATGAATACCGCCCGGCATCATGAATATCGTTCAAAGATCTATGAGTTAATGAAAACTTCTTGGGATATCCGTAGATTAAAAGTGAAAACCAACCAAACTGACAGAAGTGGGTCAAGTATAAGCCAAACAAAGTACAGGAATTTATCCCGATAGCGATGATTCATGAGAGCACTAGACAGCTCGCTTGCTTGCCGTTGTCTATCTCGAGGCTTTATCATGAAACGCCGAAGACGCATTTCGGTCCTTCGATATGGAGTACTGTACCCCTAATGTAAATTCCTCCGTCCATGTTACTAAATTAATAGTCTCTGGTGTTGATATATATCTTGTCTCATTGACTTTTTTCATAAAAACGAATGCCATTAAAAAAAAAGTTGCAGTCGGCAACGAAAACGACATATCGTTCATGAAATTTGTCATGCCCTCTTGATAAACTAAACAAGAATCCCTTTCATTACTTTACTAATCTTCAGTTGTGCTATAATTTTCCTCATAACGTTAGAAGCTTCTTTCAATTTTGAAGTTCACTCTTGGTTGATCCGCCTGAAGCCTGAAATGATGAGCTTCCTGAAGCTTTCTTCTGCGTT